ATATATATATATATATATATATATATATATAATTAACATCCTATTCTATTTTTATGTTAATATATTTCCATCTCTCTCTAACGTGGCTGTGTTTTTGCTTGCAGGCGTCATACTGTACATATTGCTTGTCGGCTATCCTCCGTTCTGGGATGAGGACCAGCATCGCCTGTACCAGCAGATCAAAGCTGGCGCCTACGACGTAAGTAACAAGTGAACGTACAGTGTGGCGACGTAAGTAACAAATGAACACCTGGTGTGGCGAGTAGCGATGTAAGTAACAAGTAAACGTCCGGAGTGGCGAGTGGTGATGAAAGTAACAATTGAACGTCCGGTGTGGCGAGTAGCGATGTAAGTAACAAGTAAACGTCCGGAGTGGCGAGTGGTGATGAAAGTAACAATTGAACGTCCGGTGTGGCGAGTAGCGATGTAAGTAACAAGTAAACGTCCGCTGTGGCGAAGTAAGTAACAAGTGAACGCACGGTGTGGCGACGTCAGTAACAAGTGAAAGTCTGATGTGGTGACGTAAGTAACAAGTGAACGTCCGGTGTGGCGACGTCAGTAACAAGTGAACGTCCGGTGTGGCGACGTAAGTAACAAGTGAACGTCTGGTGTGGTGACGTAAGTAACAAGTGAACGTCCGGTGTGGCGACGTCAGTAACAAGTGAACGTCTGGTGTGGCGACAGAAGTAACAAGTGAACGTCCGGTGTGGCGACGTAAGTAACAAGTGAACGTCTGGCCTGGCGACATAAGTAACAAGTGAGCGTCCATAAAACTCATACTGGAGTCGTCGATTGTCGCCGCTGAGAGACGTTCCGTTGTTTGTTTCAGTATCCGTCACCAGAGTGGGACACCGTCACGCCGGAAGCGAAGAATCTTATCAACAGCATGCTGACGGTGAACCCGGCGAAGCGCATCTCTGCCATCGAGGCTCTCAAACACCCGTGGATCTGCGTGCGTATCTATCTATGCTCTCTTGTTTTAGCGCTCGTAAGCACGCTCTCTTGTTAATGCGTGTGTTACCACGCTCTCTTGCTAAAGTGAGTGTGACAACGCTCTCTTGTTTTAGCGTGCGTATTAACGCTCTCTTGTTAATTAAAGCTTTCTGTCTGTCTGTCTATCTGTCTGCCTCTCTGGCTGTCTGTCTGTCTGACTATCTGTTTGTCTGTCTGACTATATGTCTGTCTGTCTGTCTATCTGCCTATCTGTATGTCTGTCTGCCTATCTGTATGTCTGTCTGCCTGTCTGTATGTCTGTCTGTCTATCTGTCTGTCTGTCTGTCTGTCTGTCTGTCTATCTATCTGTCTGTCTGCCTGTCTGTCTGTCTGTCTGTCTATCTGTCTGTATGTCTGCCTATCTGTCTGTCGGTCTATCCGTATGTCTGTCTATCTGTCTGTCTGTATGTCTGTCTGCCTATCTGTATGTCTGGCTGTCTATCTGTCTGTCTGTCTATCTGTCTATCTGTCTGTCTATCTGTCTGTCTGTCTGTTCTTCACCACTGAGGCCGCATTTTCTCATGCAAACTGCCTCACGCTGACAACAACTTTGCTTCTGTTTCCTAGCAACGGGAGCGTGTTGCGTCAGTGGTGCACCGGCAGGAGACCGTCGACTGCCTGAAGAAGTTCAACGCTCGCCGCAAGCTGAAGGTGAGTCGTAGATGGGCGCCAGCGGGCTTCTGCCCGGTAGTTAATCACACAGGGGGGGAATGCGAGGTGTCAGTCTAGGTCCGCGTCGAGGTGCACGATCCTCCCACACGGACGGCGTCCAGTAGAGGGAGCCACGCACGCTGCGACCGGCACGAGACATGAGAACGTCCCGTTGCCCGTGGCGACCGAGCGTGCGTGCGACCGTTACGGTTATTATGTTTTCTGGCCACACGATGGAGCCACCGGCTAGTCGATGAACACGTGTATGACGACGGTGGTTCAGCCTACGCGCTGACCTTTACCCACCTGCCTTCTCTCAGCGAGCGAATCATATGCCAATCACACTACGCACGCTCGTGACTCTACGCGATAACGTACTACGTTGTCGCACAGCGGCTACAAGTTGCATGCAACCATCGTTGTACACCACCAAGTTGTATGCAACTAACGTTGTACACCAACAAGTTGTATGCAACCAACGTTGTACCCCAACAAGTTGTATGCAAATAACTCTGTACCCCAACAAGTTGTATGCAAATAATACTGTACCCCAACAAGTTGTATGCAACCAACGTTGTACCCCAATAAGTTGTATACAACCAACGTTGTACCTCAACAACTTGTATACAACCAACGCTGTACCCCAACAAGTTGTATAGAACCACGACCGAACCTCTCTATGCCGCGCGACACTTGTTTCGTCGTCGCGCCGACCGCGCATGACAGTCGGCGCCCTCTATATTCCTCCGCTGCCGGCCGGTTAATGGCTTTGCCGGGGCTTCTCTCGCTCGCGCGTGCGTGTGTGTTTATGCGAGGGATGTGTCACCGATTTACTGTGCTTGGTTAGCTGTGATGGTGCGCCACGAAGCAAGAAAAACACCTAGTAGAGTAATTATAACATCAAGCCACGAGTCGTACCGCTGCTACTCTTATTGCTTGTGCTGCTGCTTCTGCTGTTGCAACTGCTGCTGCTGCAACTGCTGCTGCTGCTGATAGTGGCGGTGGCAGCGGCGGCGGCGGCGGTGGTGGCGGCGGCGGCGGCGGTGGTGGCGGCGGTTGTGGTGGTGCTGCTGCTGCTGCTGCTGCTGCTGCTGGTGGTGGTGGTGGTGGTGC